CACAATAAGAAGTATGAAACGGAAAAAAAGTATGAAACGAAACATAGTGAGAAACAAAAACGATGGTGATATAAGAATAATAGATACACTTAGGGTTTTAAATAGGCGCACCTAGGGTTTTTTTTTCCTAAAAATATATTTATGGGCCACGTTTTTAGCATATGGGATCAGTTTTAATATTTGGTAGCACACAGAATAATTAAAGCCCAAACAAAAAAAAAWTCAATCAAACTCATCTATTCTTATATCAGAAAATCGTGGCCCACTAATAGTGATGGCATGGATATGTAATTTCAAGATTCATTAGGGGTATTTTCGGTAGACCAAGTTTTAAACTCACTCTGGAGTTGCCACATAGGATCATCGACTTCATATATAATAGTATAGATTTGTGGCCAAAGGAAAATAAATTTATGACAAAACCGTAATTTTTTTTAAATTTTATTTTTTTCGATTTTTTTGATAATGGTACTCTTGTATATAATTGTTACTAACAAAAAGTTTGAGGGTAAAATGGGCATGAAAAAATCGTTAATAATAAAAATAAAATAAGAGCTAATCTATTATTTAAACAATAAATTAGTGCCAAACTAATTATTTTCGCCTGTTTTATACTTATGTTCGGCATGCGTTTTTAGGCGTATGAGTGAATTTTTTTTTTATAAAAGAAAGTGATTTTTGTGAAGCTTGCACAGAAATAGAGACCCATTTTGTCAATATGAAAAGATTCATAAATAGAAAAAAAAAAGAACTTTGACAACTCCTCCTAAACTTGTTTATACTTTAAATTCGAATCCCTCTCAGCAAAACGCTTTAGGCTCAAGCAAAACGCTTTAGGCTCAAGCAAAAAGCTTGTTGATTCAAAAGTAAGTAATCCCACAAATTCTGTTTGCCCACTTCATAAAATCGTATAAACATATATTTTTCTTATTTAAAATAAATATAAGTTAGATCCTCAAAAATACTTATGCAACCCGACTTTTCTGTCGTGTTGTATATAGCAAAAACTATAGTCATTGTTTTTTATTAGTAGATAGAATCTTTTGGAATAAACTTAGGTAGAATCTTAAGTTTCCAACAATATTAGTAAATTTGTTTTTAGCTATGGCCTTGAATGTTTCGTGCGTTCCGTGCGGTTTAGTGGGCGGGACTAATATTTGTCACCATTCAACATTACTTTCATTTGTGGTTTGTGTATT